AAGGGCACTTTCTCGACTACAGGGCTTAATCGAATCTACAGAAAAACCCAGCGGAAATCTAATTTGGTTTTTGTCCCACATCTTCAGATAACGAACCTGAACGTTACCAGCTCGGCTACCAACTCACAACAAGTTATCGACAAGTATGAATTGATGGAAAGGCTTCTGCCTTGAGACTGTTTCTTCCACTGAGGAGATCAAATTTTCTCGGCCTGAAAACGGCCTGTGCTTTCGAACAATACTGTTCAAAGTATTCTTGGCTTGTATGACTGACGCAGAAAGAGGAACCTTTGTTATACCTCACAGATTCACATGTAGAACTCGTGTCACACTAAAATGGTAATTCACATTAGTATTAACAACGAGTTCTCCTAGCAGGTTAGTCAGGAAACGTGTCAGAAGCAATATGAATACACAATACTCGATTTCTCCTTGCTCGCTTAATTATCAGAGGAAATTGAACTTTAACAATCAAATCAGATGCTCTTCTATACCCGAGACGTGAAAAATTCTATAGCGATGTAATAGGTAATATTTTTTAGACTATCTCAAATACGACTAGTTCTGATGAAGCGACGGCATTTCCCTCTAATGAACTGATAGATCAAGAAAATCGGATGTCAACCAGGATTTCGGCGTATGAAATTTTCATAGACGATGAACAAATTCCATAAAATGATTACATCAATGACAGCGATGAGAAGAACCACGATGATAATGAACACTGATCGGAATGAGCTGCTCGCTAGGCTAATCACTTTTCTCTATATAAGGATGCGCGCTGTTGTAGGCGGGCATCTTGCGTATAACCTGTTTCATCATTCAGTACGTTTCAAGCAAATTTTGTTCTCAAAATTCTCTTTTCAGGAACACTCTGTGACCTATCTCATAATATTCTGGATAATGACACACTGTAAATAGAAGAAACTCAGGACAATAGTGGTGCAGACTCAACAAACACAGGGTGGCGAGAACTAAGAAGACTATATGGATGAGAAAGACCACTAAATATTTTACCACCACCATTGTTCCTTCAAAAAATCACTTGTACCACTTGCAATCTCATCGATCACAGAGCAATAGGAGCGGTCAATATGTCTCTATTTGTCATCGCCATCTGTCAAGTTTACCTGATAACCACGTTTTTCATACATGTTTCCACTATGTTTGACGATACAGTAGTTACGACGATGTCTCACTTGAGAGAGTGCATATCGTAGAGAGTTTGTGATCATCGTTAAAACGAACTGAACAAGATAATTGCGCATTGGACTCGACATCAAGCCCCCCAGCTTTCACTTCTAAGTCACGTGACTGCAGAATTCTGACTGAACTAATTTGCAAGACGCAATCCACATGCACTTAGACACATCCAGTCATGACTGTATCTGCATATACACGCATCAAGGGATAAGGGTTGATGGATTCCAAAGAATTTACTGTGCAATCAATCACATGCGTAGGATTGTGGAGATGAGTTTATAGTAACCATTTCTACAAATCCAAGAGTTCTGATCTCTTCTTCTCTTTTTATTCCGAGTATGTCTAACAAGAGCGCATGTGGCGCAGTGGTTAGAGGTGCTCTGCGTCGCACACGAGGTCAATGGTTCGATCTCGCGCTCATGATTCACCAAGCCATCCATCCATCCGGGGTCGGTAAATTGGTACCAGGCACGTCTCAAACTTGTGTGGAAGGATAAGCAGCACTGACTCGGATCAGCGGGAGGCCACCGCGAGTCATTGTAAAGGCCTGATATGCATTCAATCACCTCAAACGAAGTTAAAAATTGAAGTCGAATACATGGCGCATCCCTTAGGGATTGATCAACGCCGAGAGCTTTATCCTTTATCCTTTAAACGTTCACAGTACATTAGTGTATCTATTAGTATTTGCACTCACTGGAATCTGATTTTGAAACACCATTTGAGCTGCTGCATGATTTATAAGTAATTATAAGTCTTTAGTAGTTAGGCAAGTTTTCTTCTCCGAACTACCCAAACAGCAGTGCCAGGCTGTCATCATCACAGGCTCTTCGCTAAACTTCATGAATCACTCCAAACTGCCTTAATCTGCGCTTTCCTTTAATTCTTTTATCTATTTAGATCTAGTCTGTTTTATTACTTTATATATGTAAAGTATACCCGATGGTGTGGGGTGGCGTGCAAAAACTTGTGCGTCAGCTAGGATTCGAACCCACATTTCACACTGAATAAAATGAATTATATAAGCAAAGTTTAAAAATTCACCAAACAAGACGAATTTCATCAAGGTTTTCCGTCAACTCTTGTCATCATCACGGCTTTTGTGCTGTTTCAAGCATATTCCTGTTACCTGTGAAATTCACAAAGAATAAGCAAACTAAACACCATCACCCTCCAACTAGTTGCTTAAGCATTCTCCAGCTTCAAGATATCGACTGCCGATCAAGCGCATTTTCATCGCAAGGCACCAGCTTCTTCGGTTCGTAAAACCATTGCATTTCTCAACAAGTTCGCTTTTACCTATCGTTTCGGTAAACCCCATTTTTTTAATGTTACACAGAATTACCGTAATCCCGACCCGCTTTTGAAAAACTCGTCCATGTTAGCTCTCTATAATAGTTCGTTGTACGATTATGGAAGGAAGCTTGAACCAATCTTCTAAATCATATAACGGCCCTCTGACACCGCTCCATTTCCTTTGGCTTTATCTCTACTACTGCTGCTTTTTTGTTATTTTTGAACTCCTTTTAATCGATGTACGCATAGAATGCACTGTTGAGTGCAGGACACAGATGCATAGATCTACATTGCACTCAGCGCCGATGTTTTCTCCTGAGCAGTAGCCTAACTTCACAAATAACTTCATGGAAAAAGATATATGACCATTTGATTCTATAAGTTCTTCTGCTTTAACGCTGCAACTTATTGGTTTTGAGTTGATTTTCTTTTTTGTATTATTTAAAGAACTTTCTGCCCTACATAGAATTTCTTCTTAAACTTCATAGAATGGTACGGAAACCGAATCCGTTCATAGTACTTTTGCATTTTTTCTCGCTGAGATGTTGATCGATGTAGTAAGAAATAGACGTTTTTCGCGTTCATCGTGTTCGTTCCGCTTCGCTTTTAGAAGTGTTTCTGTTTTTAAGTTCTCTGTAGTAGGCATTTCAGTTCGACTGTCAGAATTTCTAATCATAAAATTGAAATGAATTTGTTGAAATTAAAAAGCTATATGTTGATTGACAATCAAGCTGAGAAATGACGACCATGCGGGATCGGTGCAATAAACAAAGAATAGAACGGGATAAGATGGGACTGATTAGAAATGATAGCGGATACCGATCCAAATTGGCGGCTAAGAACGATCTCCCGGTATCGCAAATGTAGCCGCAGCGCTATCATGCGATCTCTTGATTTGAATTGGCAATGATTAAGACCAGAGACCTTCTTCGCATATACAAAACCGCTTAGACGTATATTGGTATACGAACTCATGCATATAATGAAATTCAAATGATAATAATTTTTTCGACGACTAGACCAGATAATGTCAAAATCCCAGCACTTTTTTCGTTCAACTCTTTGCCACTCATCCTGAGTCGTCATCGATTTTAGATTTCCGTAAGGGGTCTGATAGCTGTTCAATGATTTCAAATTATTTTTACAAATGTCGTTGAACGCTGGTCGATTCGATTGTCCCTGGCACTTCTGGATAGCCGTGTTCTAATGTCTGCGAATTTTCATTAGACGTATCAGCAATCTTGGTGGATTGCAGGGAGTTCCTGCAAGTTTGGCGCAAATTTTTCAATCCCTGAGAAAGACGAAGGTTAGTTGACCATGCGCAGGGTTGCACTCGAGTATAGAATAGCCTACCTACCATTGTGCTATCTGTATCACAGACGGATGAATATTAGCAGTAAAATCAACAGAAAACCTCAACAAAGGACAAACCTTTTCCAAAAATCATCGCCGTCCAGGATAATTATTCACAATACGGTATCACATCGACTACAGCTATTTGTTGAGACCTTGATGCTAAATCAGCTTTCAAAACTCCAGAAAAGCAAAAAGGCTATCCATCCACCAGACCACTAGTCAATTACTAAGCCTGCTGTGGCTTACACAGCTTGTGAAGGAGTAATGTCTAAATATTGGCATGTAGAAAGACAAAGTCTTCAAGTATTTGACTCCAAGCAACTTGCCGACCCTGAAAAAAAGGGGTTACCTCTTTGAGGTGTAAACCAAAGTTGATCCTACGATTACGTGTGTATTACAGGCTAACTCAGTCCGTTGCGCTACACATTCCCACATCACATCTACTACGGGTTAGCTCGCCGAAGGCTAAGCCGATCAAGTGATTAATGAGTATTGACCTTATCTCCATCAACAACAATCATTCGTCATTCATTTCGTACGACGTCCGTTGATTGGTATGCATGGTATGAGTTAGCGCACTTCATCGGCAATGATCAACAAACGGCTAGGCTACAATACGTGTGCTATGAGTGTATGAAACGAGTTTCTCTCATCATTTCGCTTCTTTCCTAGGTTTTGATGTTACAAGATGACCATCACACTCGGCACTGCCTAGCACCTAGAGTAGTGGTGGGGTGCTTAGCGATGATGACCGAAAACCAGATACACGACGTCCTCGTTGAGAAAGCGCTGCGATGAGTGTGCCGAGCGATAAACGTGCCGATAAACACACTACCATCACTGAACAGAAGTCATATATCTTCTGATATCGAAAAATGTTAATCGCTACAGCAATTCGCATGAAAAAAAAACGCAGTTGACTCCAAACACGTAGCCAAATTCTCAATTATTCATGTTGAAATCTACTCATGGGTAGAACTGAGGAACTCAACGATGTTTTAAGATACACGAAAGGAAACAGTTCTGCGAAATAATAAAAAGAATGCACAGACATTTTCAAGGTTTCTTATGTTTTTGCAGTATTTTTTTGCAGTGTTATGATGTTACACATATACCTAAGAGAATTGAGTGTTATGCAAAAATTCGACCTCAGACGGGAGTTGAATCCGCATTTTATCCATACCGGGGACGCGTGCTACCACTACAGCACCGAGGCCACCGCTTACCACTCATTCTTCATACCTTCAAATCCTTCTTCCCAATCAAACCTTTTAATGATTGGTGGCTTCTCTGGTGTAATGGTAGCACGCGTCCCCATTATGAATGAAACGCGGGTTTAACTCCTGCCTGAGGTTAATTTTTTGCTTACTACTCAATTCTCTTAAGTGTGAACAATTTCATCTAGACAACATAAACTCATCAAGGAATAATCCCTGACATAAACTGAAGTTACGATGAAATTTTTTTCTTCTCTTTTGATTGGTTGTGTAAAAAATTCGTGCCGCTTTCTTTTTTTACTAAGATCTTTGCTAAGAAACTGCATGATTTTGGTGTCGTTCAATCGCGCATTTTTTGCGATCATTTTGGTATACAACTTGCCTATGCTTACTTCAAAATATAATTGTCTTAAGAACGAATCCCTTTACTACTCGTGCACGAATGGCGCGTAAGGGAAAATGCTAGTGAAGCGGAGGAGGATAGTGTCGGAGTTTGGGCGATGATACCGTTGCAGAAAGGAAGGCTAAAAATTGTTTGCGGAGTTCTAAGCTGAAGAGAGCAATCTGGAGGATCAGTCGCGCTCGGATTGTCAAGCTGTCCTTGAGAAGGTCGACAAGAATCACTCGATGACATGCTGAATGCTAGCTGACGAGTTCGATTGTTGCTTCAGGACCATCGCCAACAACAGTGGTAGCAAGTTATCGAGGTCAATGGAGAATACTCTAATTACTGGTTTGTCCTTTGTCTGGAACAAAGTATTGCAGTCATATTTGAAAAAATCAAAATGGCACGAAATCTTTGAACAATCCCTCATTTCATCACTAAAAAGTTCCAGATCCCCGACGGATTTCATAAAAACAAAAAACAAATAGTTTACATCGTCATTAAGTTACACGGAACATTTATTCTATTCGTTAATAAAATCATAAACAGAATCCTTAAGGTCAAGCTCAGATATAAGAAGCAAATCTCGTCACAACATTTAAAACGCAGCTTATCTAAGCACAAATATTTCAGACGTTTCTCTTCAAATTTCAAAATTATAAAAGTGTTCACATTTGTAACAAAATTTCCACCGTTTTTGCGTCAAGTTCAACATAGCACCCTGAATCGACTAGCCAAAGCTGGTTTTCCGTTAAAAATTTGTCTTCATGGGAAATCTCTTTAACCGCCGACGAAAAAAATCTTGCTTTCATGTGAAACACGCTCGAACACTTGGAATTGAACGAAACACGTATGGAAAATAAAATCTTCGCGAAGAAAAAAGAACAACAGAAAAGGTTAATCACATAAGACTTGATGCCGAACCAAGTCAATTTCCAGTACTTTCACTTAGTTGTGGTTTCTCTAACACTTTGCCACGAAATGAACTTTGCTAACTGAACTTATTCCATGATGTTTCAGTTCTGCTTGATTTAGAATATATATGAGTATTCAAGTACAAAACAATATGCACGACACCTTTATTTCCAGCCATCGTAGGAAGATACGCAATTAAATTACTTAAAATAAATTATTATCTACAGATTTCTATCAATATAGGTATTTGGGGAATGAGAATCATTGTCACAGGATAAACACCGCTATGAATAAGTTAAGAAATATATGGTCCCACTTGAATGCAGCAAAGAATTATTGCTACGAATGTTAACAATTGCACCTAACATTAAGTTGGTATTATTAAAACAAACAGTGTTAGACATTTCCAAGACATTTTGATACAGAAAATTATCACTGGATTTCGTAGCACAACTCTAATGTGGTGTTAAATTTTTGTAAAGGAATGTTGGCACCGAAAGAATTTTACAAAAAGTGCTTTCATCTAAGACCAAAGTGGTAATTATCGGAAAAAAACACTAGTTCAGTCTCACCATTTTCACAAGTGATCGTACCGCTTCAGAGTCACCTCGATCTAACTGACTAGCATTGCTCTAAGAACACTAGCGCTTCTTTAATTCAATTATCAAGCTTCTCAATCCATACTACTCCATTCCTAAGGCGATCGACTCGATTTTGCTGTACATCATTTGAGCTCGATATCCTTCTTCACATTTCCGACAGAAATCAATCAAACCTAGCAGACGTTTGATGCCGATACCACAGCTGAAACTTGTTCTATTGGTATTTTGTCATCCCAAACAGTAATAACAAGTCACTAAATGAAAGCACTTCCTTTTTTGAACAGAAAATTGAATCCCATTTTCAAAGCAATATCGTTAGCAATTTACTGCGTAACGATCAATTCGACTGAAGAAAAACTTACAAAATTAAAATTCTCCAGATTTTTCATGGATTGGGAACTTTTTCTGACGCTGAAATTGGGAAATATGTAAAGGCCAGTTTTGGCGTCTCAATAAAGTCTGGCGGTGAATTCTACATATGTCTAATTTTTGACTCTTCAAATACACCACCCTGCACTTCTTGAGGTTCAATTATTGAAACGAGATACGAATCCTCCCTGAAAGAGCATAAGGGAAATTGTATGTGGTCGTCGATAATAGGAGTGGGTAAAGTAAGTAACCATATCAGCTGCCTTCACGATTCTGTTTATGCTGGATAAGAAAGCATTTGATATAACCTTGCAAATAGGAAAATCACAGCAGAAGCTGCACATCCCTTGTTCAACTTCACCCAGTACATATCTTGTTCTCTCTTCAAGAAGCTCTTCAAATAATTTTCGTAAATTTTTGTAAGATAGGGGGTGCAAGGTGCTGTCAACTCGTGCAGTTTCATCTAATGTGCCACATTCAATCGCTATAAATAGGTATCTATACGTAGTTTACGATTTGCTCTGCATTTTCAACAGTGACGATTTAAACGAGCTAATTGAATCTTCAGAGCGCATGTGGTGCAGTGGTTAGAGGTGCCTGCGTCGCACACGAGGTCACTGGTTCGATTTCGCGCTCATGGCTCACCAAGACATCCATCCCTCCGGGGTCGGTAAATTGGTACCAGACAGGTCTCAGACTTGTCTGGGAGGATAAGCAGCACTGACTCGGTTCAGCGGGAGGCCACCGCGAGTCATTGTAAAGGCCAGATGTGCATTCAATCACTCAAACAAAGTTAAAAATTGAAGTCGAATGCATGGCGCATCCTCAGGGATTGATTAACGCCGAGAGCTTTATCCTTTATCCTTTAATTGAATCTTCACCAATTTTACTCATAACGGTATTTTTCAAGAAGAAAAAACGGAATCCTAATCCAAACTGTTTCAGGGTCTTTTTTCGAGATTCATCGCCTTCCTTCTTCAACAGAATAACAAAATTTTATGTGGAAGCAATAACCTATATCGATAACATATGGTTAAGTCTCATTTCTGCTCTTTGGAGGTTTTGATACATTATCGAAAGCAATACTTTAGAATTGCGACGAGTCATGAACTGCTCATCTTGCTGAACATAGATGGCTTCTCCGGCAAACGTTTAAACGTTACTCCAGACCGCAAGTTTTGCTGCAGATCCTGGGTTCCATGCTTTCTTCTTTTGTATCTCAAACGCTAACTATACAGTGCCTTCGTGTCTTGGTTTAAGCAGTCACAGTGCAGAAACGGATACATTCTCCCGACAATTAATCATTTGCAAAGCTTACAAGACAAGCTTTTAGTTCACTACATTTGACGTTATCAGCGTTGCATCGCCATGAACCGATGGGTCAAATAATCGCAGAATTTATATGAACTACAAGAATTTTCTAAATTATTGCTTTTGCCAGTGTTGTGATCTTAAAATCATATACAATATACATGTGTATATATACACGTACATACGCAAATATACGTACATATAAATTCACGCATATATATATATATTGTATATATATATATATATATATATGATGTCTAAATCAACGAGGCTCTGGCTCTGCTACTACCACTTTCTACGATATAAGGCATCGATGGCATATATTGTATGGTATATAAAACTTGTTTTTCTCACCTCTGGGTCGAGAGGAGATTCTGGAGATCAGCATTTAGTTTTTGCAATTCCCTCTCCGTGAACACATCTGACTCGTACAATACATGCATTATATGTGCTGGTGTTGAAAGAGCTGGCACATCTATGACATGTCCTGCAAGGACCCTTAGTTAATTCATGAACTCAATCAATAATTAATAGAAAAAAGCCAAATAAGGCAAAAATCCACAAAGACAATACCTACCAAATGCATTTATCAGCTCGAGTTCACGAAGAAACGCTCGATTCGAAGATGTAGCAAGCACTAGAAGGCGGTGATCCTGAAGTGGAGGCTGAATTTATGAAAGAATGGTGCAACCAGCCCTATAAGTGCTTCTAATTGTTTAAAAGCCCACGATTCTGGATGTTATTCTAGGCTCTGGAATCAATATCTGCACCTGAATCTTTGTATATTTATCTGTTTTAAAGAGACCCATTCAAACACTGTTAACGTTACGTTTACGTTGGTTGACAGATATTTTGCGATATTTTAGAAAACGAGAGTCAAAACGAACTCTTTTTCATGACGCGACTTTTACTGATCAAAAAGTCATGGAACTTGCTAAGAAGGCTAGCCCTTTGAAAGTGTGGCAGCGGATAAGGCTATAAATTTCAAACAAGTTGTCCAAGTGAAAGTCAGGAGCTGGTTTATTAACAAAAAATAAACCACCACCTATCTATGGAAAGCAACGCCTGGTTTTTACGATCATTACATTCATCGCTAACATAAAGGTTTGCAGTTCACATTTCACGCGATGTAGCGGTAAGAATACTTAGCAAGACAATGGGTTGTAGGCGCATTCATGTAAAATTTTCTCCCATTGATACAAAATAAAACAGCTTAGATCTACTCAAAATGTCTGATACAAAGTACAATTCTATAATATAGAATCTATCTGACTTGCTAGATCGGATCACGAGATGTAGTGCTGCTCAAGAGGATCAAATCGACATGTCGACGAGAGAAAGCACACAATTTCTGGCCAAAGACGAGTCAACATCCAAATTTCCGTTTCATAGTTGGCCACAATAATGAGTTTGCGTTTCTCCATTGTTTACGTTGGTAGTGTCATTCATAGAAGTGGTTTTATCTGTAGTAGGACGATCTGTGATCATCTCTCCTCACTGTCATGTTGATATCAAGTCTGATTTTCGTTAGGATCACAATACAGCCATGCTAGATCG